CAGGATTCATTGAATTTAATGGATGACATTGAAAAGCATATGGATGGAAATAGCAGTGCCAATGTTTTTGGCTTCACTGATGAGCAGTATGTTAGAAAATACTTATCCATTGCAGCAACGCCCGTATTTGTACCATTTATGTTATGCAACTTGATATGTAATTTGCTAGCATCATTCCATTTTCTTATACTTCTGAAATGTGTTCTCCAAGGACAAGGCAAGTTCTAGGACTTTAATTAATTATAGCACCTTGCAGAACATATTATAAATTATATAATTTAAACTTCATGTTTATCAGCAAATTGTACCAACTTGAAGCAGTGCAAAGAGATTCAGTCTGCTTTTAAATGCATACGAGAAAACAAAAACTTTGTAAGTTATCGGTCGCACAATGACTATGTTATTTCAGAAAAAGAAAGCAAGTTGAAAGCAAGTGGTTTCTTGATAAGCATACTGCATAAGGAAGGAATTCAACGGAAACAAAAGGAAAGGTGGGAAGATTGCGTGTAATGTCCTTTCTCCAACCACATTAAAATGGCTCAGGAGAACATACTCCATCCTTCAGAAGTAAGAAATTCATATTGGGATTATGCCACATGTAAAAACTTATCTGCTACAATAAATCTGCAAGTAGCCAGTTCTATAGTTAAAAATAGTAAATGAACAGGGTTAGAAACACTTACACCAAAGTGTTAGTTTGTTCCTGAAACACAGCAATTCAAACTATTCATTCAATTGCTATTTGAGGACAAGGTCAAAATGACTCCATAAGCAGCACTGGCACCGTATGCCTTTTTAGACCTGTTTAAGCTGCATCCTAAAATACTGTTACTGATAATATTTTTAAAAATGCATTAACTTCCGAGTAAAGATATTATTAAGAAGTGAGGCACCAATGACAAAAATGCAGTTATGCATGGATTGACTGAGCCATAAATATAAAACCTCGGTATGAAACACAAAAATCAATCATTTGCACTATCCAAACTTGATTGAACAAAATGCAATGGAATTACATCAGAAGGCCACAGATCTTTTACAAGACAAACACGGAACTTCTGAAATCTGCTCAGGTTTCAATTCAAATCCTAAACTACATTTAACTGAAAATTAGTTGGATACAACCCTTTCCCCTGGATCCTTCTATCTTCAGCACCCCGTTTTTTTTTCTCCAGGAAGGACAAGAAGGAACAAAAGCTGCACTTCTGCAGAATGCACATCTTCCCTGAGACAAAGAACCTTAGAAACAAGATTACATAACTACTTTTGAAAATCTTGCCACTAAAGATCCTTGAAGCCATCAATACCTGAAAACAGATACAAATATATCATTTGTCTTGCATTTCCTCCCTCCCTCCCTCAGCTTTCAGCATGGAAAGGGACGTCCTACAACCAGCTGGGGACCAGAAGGGAAATAAGCCATTGGTAAAGCTGCCTCCTTGCCCTATTACTGTATATAAAATGTTCTTACATCTGCAAGAATGTGAATGGTGGTTAAAAGCCAGGTCTAAGGCTTCAGTCCATCCTGTGTGAAGGAATGGAAAAAAACAAAACTATTTACTGCCACATCCTGAAAATCATCTGCTGGCAGAATTTTCAGACCTTACCAAAAAAAAAAAGAGTTCTACTCTGCAACTAAATGCTCAGATGCAAATGAATCTAAAATGGCCTTTCAGGATCAAAATTACTTCTTACTTCTTGTAATTAATCAGCTTTACCCCCCAAAAGCCCATCTCTAAATACCAAAACTCAGCTTGTAGTAAGCATGCTCTTTGGATCCTGACTAAGATTTCTCCAACACCACTTAGAATTAAAACCTCATGACTGTCCCAGTGACAAAAATTATGATCATTTGCAGAATTAGCTCTGCAAAAGACTCTTATTGTTTAGATTGTGGTTGCTATGAACATAAAAGGTCTGATAAAATAAATTACTTTGTATAGAAGGCTAGCAAACAAAAACTTATAATTGGTCTTGGGGTCCATATTGGTTCTTATTACTGATATGGATATCAAAACACAGTAAAAAAAAAACCTCAGAACAAAAAAACCTCAGAAGGTAGATGAGAAGTTTATAAATATCAATGAACATTTAAACCAGCTTTAAATTTTTTTAAAAACCCAACTTCCCATCCTACAAATGCTATTTGTTAAGGCAGCTGATAATGATTACGAACCTCTCAAAAACACATACATCTATAAAAATGAAAATCTGGATTAACTTTTAAGTGAGAGGTAGTGTCTTTGCACTTGCAGACATTACTTATCATGTAGAATATTGCATATTCTAATTCATTTGAAAAACAGCTATGTAAGGATGCTGTTTTGATGATGCCTTGACAATGACAACTTAACAAGGACAAAAAAAGAAAATTGCTTAAATGCTATTACAATCTCAGATATTCATTCTTGGGAAATTCTGTTCCTATCTTTTAGATAATCCATTAAGTTCAAAGCCTCGTAAGGTAAAAGTGACCCATTTCTACTAATGACCCATTTCCTAAGTCTCCAAAAGAAGGAACCTGGATATTCATGTCATGTCCACTACAAAGACAGAGAATACATTCCCCCAATTAAATTATTCAAACAGAATAATCAAGAGATTCTAAAGAAAAAGGCTATTGCTCTCAATCCATCCTTGGGGAAAACATAATGGCGAGAGCACATGTGACCTGGAGGAATAAGCCTAAGGAGGCAAGCACAGCCTTGGCGTAGCTCAACAATATAGAGGGGTGAAAAGAATTTAGAGGAAAAATGTAGAGAACACATTCCCACATGCTATACTGCTTTCTTTTTTCTCTGCACTTTGGATGCCTTTTACATTAGTAGGCAATCTTGTCTAGGCTTGGAAACTAAGCAAAGTTCAGCCTGGTTTGCACTTGGATGTGAGAGCACAGAATAGTAGATTTTCCAGGATTGGGAAGTTGAAAAAAACATCTTGGAAGAACATGATAGCTAATCACTTCTGTACAGTGGCCAAAAGAATTACAGGGATGCATCCACAAAGTCACCAGGAGTTGTGCTTGACTTGTACTATGGCATTTCCCCTTCCCCAAGTGCTTTATTAAAGTAACATCCTGATAAATTCTACTGCATAAAACAAAATATTGAATGTGAATTTGCACCAACAAGTTAAGGAAAACCTCTTCTTGCTTTCTCAGCATTATTAACTTGCAAACATGATGACTACAAATAGCAAAAAGATGCTATTCTCCAGAAGGTGGGGAGATGTCCCAGGAGAGCCACATGGAAACAAAAATGAGACATGCAGAAAACAATACCTCACTTCTCCCACAATTTAATGCTCACACATAGGTAGGCCTGAACTAAGGCCTATTTTGAACATTATATAATTCTGTAAAGAAAATTCTGAAACTAATTTTTGTCTTACAATTTTATAAAACATGAAAGGAGGGAGGGGTAGATAATACACTCACAATGAAAAAGTCAAAGTATGGACCCTGTCCCCCTAAATTTGGAAAAATACACACTCGGTTCTAAAATTAAAGCAACAGACATCGTTTTTACATTGATTATGCTGGAACCCAGACAGAAATTTCAGTTCTGCAGCAAGGCACGATCTCACCATGTTCAAAGTTCTTCAACTTTGGGAGAGAAGAATTCCCACATCCCTGAGAGCAGTGCTGGAGGAAGCAACCCTTTCCAGTGGCAAAATATGGCCACTGGAAATGCCAGCAGCCCATCTCAGGGACTCAGGACCACCCCACCGAAGCAGCGCCTAGAAAGATGGTTATCAATTCCTGTCCAACATTACCAGAGGAGCAAGGATACTAAGCAGGAGCTTTCCATGCATCCATCTACAGCCTGAAAGCGGACGGAGCGTGCTGTTTTCTGAGGGTTGACAGAGGTTAGTGCTTTTTCCCCTCTAGCAAATGGTCACTCCTTCCCATACCCCCCCCATATGCACAAAAAGCAACAGCAGCTGGAATTTGCCTTTTGTCCCTCACACTTTATTTTACACTCCCTCGGCTGAGGGTCCCTCTCTCTTCCCTCAACTCCATCCCCCATATTGTTCCGAGACAGACCCCACACAAGCCCCGCCACTCACAACACCTCAGTAACTCCAGGCCCCTCATTGTCTGTGTTCGCCCAACACGCTGAACCCAGCTCCCGAATTAACACATTCTCGCTGGGTCTGCAGCGAAGGGGGTAAGTCTGGGAGCGGGGGGGGGGGCCTCCCCGCTCGGAAGAGTGGCAGGCGGGGCAGAGGCAGCCGCTCCCCCTTCCCGGCCAGAGATCCCCTTCCAAGCCCAGGCGCGGCGGGGTGGGCGACCCTCCGCCCGCGGGAACAGATTTCCTCCTTTCCACCGACTTCCCCCTCGATGCTGCATCCCTGGC